AGGGAAAGTAAAAAGAACGCGAGCTCCCTAACTCGAATAAAAACTTGAGAATAAGAACAGTGTATGATAAGGCGGTGATGGCGGTATCGTAGGCCGAGGAGCGTGCGAGATGAGTGGGTGGATTGGGTTTCGGGGAGGAGTTGGCGGGGTAGATGGGGGGGGGGTTGATCGAAGGAGGGTGTAAGAGGGTCCAAGCGGATCGGAGTGGACAAGAGAGGCAGAGGGTGAGTTGGGTAAGAATAAAGCCTTCGCCAGTAAGCTTAGCAGTGATCGATCGATGGATCGAGATGGAGATGCGCGATAAAGTGCCGGGCGATGACGAAGCACACGAAGGCGCGAAATACAAAAGGCGCGCGCTCACGATCAAAAAGTGCCGGACTTACGTGTTCTCGAAGACGGCGCGCCAAATGTCCAGGCTGCACACAGGAGGTCAGTGCCACATCAAGTGGCCCCGGAAGCTCGTGACGCTGTTGCGCTAAAGGGCCGAGAGGCGCGAGTCGGCACGGATGTGCGCACGAGGCGCCAACACAAGAGTCACTGGTTCACGGGCGCAACACTGCTTTCCATGCCGGGGGCACGACCATCGTCCCCGTCCACGGGAAAGCGTCGAGGGGAAAAAGCACGGGGACCGCCTTCTCCACTTCCCGCCGCTCTCCCCGCCTCGCCTCCTCTGCTACGCTCCTGCGCTGACCTTGCCTCGGATCTAGGGGCTAGTGACCTCGGACTCTCTTTCCCCTCGTTCGCGCTCACGTCTTTCTTGGCTCCAGCGACTTGCCGGAGCTCGCTAATCGGTCCCGAGCTACGGCCAACTCTCTTATCGCGCTACTGATGCCGAATTAGCGGCCAGACGAGCGGAGGCATCGCTCGACCCCTGGGACACGTCTCGTCACCTACTGTCGTCGCCTCGAGCGCGGACTTTGGCTTTGGGCCCTGCCTACACCGGAGATTACGAGGACGCTCTGTCTCCACTATTCAACGAGAGAAGGAGAGAAGCCGCGGGGCCGCTGGAGGAGGGGTTAGGATGCCTGTAAAAAACGAGTCGCGGCCGTTGGTGGGGTGCACTCCCAAGCGATGCTTTCACTCAGCCTCCAGATGGGCTTTTCGCTGCTTTAGTCGTATACGCGTTTTCCATGCGATCGTTTATTAAATACGCTTTGCTCGACATCCCGGGCAGTGCTGTCTCTGTCATTCTGGGATTCATCGTTGCCCGAGCAGCCGACGATCGGGAAGCTTCAAAAGATCCGCTTCCTTTTGACTGCCCGATGCTGTTGCATAATCCTGGCGTACGTCCTCGCTTGCCGAATGAAGAATCGCCCAACTTGTTCAAACTATTAAGTTATAAACAATTTGTTAGCTTTACGAGCGTCGACTAAACTTTTAAACGGAATGTACTCTCTTAAGAGCACTGACGACCTTATTCACAACATTCAATTATTGGATTTGAATATTTGTTGAAATTAACTCAATCACGACATTAATTTCTTGTCGTATTAAGCTAATATATTTTTATGATGAATATTGTCGTATGTTTGCCAATACGTTTTGATCGGCAATTTTATCATTATAAAAATGAAATCTCTGTTACTAAATTAAAAACTTAGGTTTGGTGTGCTGCATTATTTAACGGGATGTAAAGGATTTATTATTCAATATACGCATAAAAATAATTAATAAAATAACAATAAAATGGTATAGTAAATTATATTATAAATTGTAAAAGAATACAATGCTGGCGATTCAAGGATTTAATGAGAATTTCTTAAATATCCAAAATCTTCAGCTAAATTCTAAGTGTCTATTTGATTGACAACGACATGACATTGTTTGAAAATTAATAAATACTCATCAAGGCTTAAATCACGAATCACGAAATTCTATGATCATTGATTTCATTCTAATTCGATTAAACATTAATCTATTTATTTATAATCTTCCTACAGTTTATGATAATTTTGATACTTATTCTCTTACGTTTCTCATTCAAGTAATCAAAGATAATTATATTCTTCTAATTCTTATGTAATCTTTACGAAATAGATAAATTATATTTATCAATGTAAAATAATTTTAAACCATACATTCTGCAAATTATTGTTATTAAAAGAAAACAAAACAAAATAACAATTAAAAAAGAATTTTGTTGTTGCTGTTTATATGTGAACGGTGTTTTTTTTTAAGGGATGAAGGATATTTTTTTTAAATTATTTACTTATAATCCTCTGAATATTATAATAAAATCGAATAAACATAAAATCATTTAAATATAAAAAAGAATATATATAAAATTAAATAATATCTTATACCGTAATTGAAAGTTTTATACACCATATTGGAAAAAGTCTTGGTAGATAAAATGAAGTAAAACGTATTCTAAATTACAATTCATTTTCAATTACAGCATTTTAGAAAATTGTGATATATTAGTACTTACATTTCGGTATTATAATACGTCGACAAAATGAGTTAACACGTATTAATAATGTATAGAAGCTATGAAATAAAAGAAGGATAATGAAAAAGAGAGCGATGACGAAAGTCAGTACGACTACAATAGTCAAGCACTTAGCCATTGGATACTTTTCATATAAGCGTAAAGAAAAATTCTAAAATACAATCAAATAAAAATATGCTCGTTACCATAAACTTATTCAAGTTTGTAAGCTAATTTGAACAAGTAATGTCGTTATTAAAAGAAATTAAAAATATAAAGCGATTACTCTGTTCAACGGATTACTTTTCCATGATTAATGATCTAATTCGATATTCTACTCAGCTCTCGAATTTTCTTATTCAAGCTTATCAGTTTCTTCTTTTAAACATTTTTTTAATTCGTAGAGGTTATTTTTTTAACTATTACTTTTAGCTTATCCCTTTCAAGTGGTTTTGAATCATTCTAGTGTACGAATTATCAAACAGGTCTTTCTAATTTTTCATATATTTATATACACATATATATTTACATCTTTTTTATATATCAGTGTTAATTACTTAAAAAAATTCAATTAAAAAAAAAACTAAATATCTAAAAGTATTAAAAAAATAAAGATTATTTTTTAATAAATTATTGTAACAAATGACAATGTTATATGCTTTATAATTATGTAGAAACATAATCGTATATCTTAATATTGTACATATTAATTTATCGTTTATTATTCACTTTTTATTTTTAAATAAATTAAAGTAATTATAAGTACCAAATGTATGAACTCGTTAATTATTTCTACGTAATTAATATTTTAGAAACCTTAATTTGAATCGCAGATTATTCTTTATTGTTTGACAATTGGTTAATGGGTAGATTTTAGCTGTTTTGAAAAATTTAGCGTGAGCAATTAAAAATTAAATGTCAAAATGGATAATTTCCCTAAAAACTTAATTTTATTTTAATTATAAATATTAACGAGTAGAATGATTTATGATATAGAAGATTTGTCCTACAAAATTTGAATTACAATTACCAAATTATCTAAAAATAAAAAATGGAAAATTGATAAATACAACAATTAGATTAAAATTTTTTCTATAATATTAATTTCTATAATAGGAGAGATTTTTATTAAATATTATTTTCAAATAATGGATATAATATTGATTAATTCCTTTTAATATAAAATAATACATAGCATAGATAGAATAATAATAGATAGAACAAAAGTGCCGTATATATCTTATAAAGAACCTTCTTTTTTTTCAAATATCCAACTATCTTTGTATCACATGAAATAATAACGTTTTTACGAAAGATTAGTTCCTATGAATGAAGCGCATATAATTTTGAAGCTTAGAGTCGTTTGTCCTTTTGTTTTACTTTGGTTTAAAGAAGGCGGCGCCGGAGTAGGAGTAGAGCGAGTAGAAGAAGAAAAACAAGAAATAAAAAGAAAAAGATGGAAGAAAAATATCACCCGACGTGTCCCAGGGTCATTCATCCCCCTAGAAGTTACCCGAAGAAGTCAGTGTAAGGAAAAGAGATAGAGAGCGCAAAGATGCGAAGCCGATAAGAAGAATAATAAGAGTACAAGCAATAAGATGTATAGAAGCAAGAAGATGTATAGAAGTTCTCGAGCGATCGACCTCCTCCTCCTCCTCCTTCGCACTCACACCTGTTACTCTTGCTGGTCTCAGGCGTAGGTACGTAAGGAGCGTTGACTCGTAGGTTAACCTTGCCCGGGCTTCCCGCGGCGCGTTGTCCTCCTCCTCCTTCTCTTCATCCTTCTCGTCCATTCCTTTTCCACTTAACGTTACTCCATGCAGCTCTACCTCTCGGCCGAGATAGAAGCCGCGACGGTAGCGGCGAATCCATCCGTCTCGCTGATCCTTCGTTCCTCGTTTCGAGACTCGGACAGAAACCGGTCGCTCTTCTCCTGCCATTTCTATCTTTCACGGACATATGCCTCCAGTGTGCCCTCGGCAATATTCTTTCATCGACACTCTAGCTATTACAATTCTACCCATCACGGTACAACAATGTAGATGATTAAGCGGACGCCGATAATTTATTTCCTTATCTTCACTCTTTCTCCGAATGATACGAACGCTCGACAATGATGGATATCGTTTGTTAGCCATCACCCCCATAGCTTACCTTTATCTTTCCGGCAACACTTTCTCTGAAAGTACAGCGTATACCTTTCGATAGGTTCCAATCGTGAACGCTTGGCATACGTTATGTATGTCTACAATTATCCCTTATACATTAATCAAGAAAGTATCGCTGTTTTGTATCCGCAGTTTGCAACAATTTTTTTATTATTATAGCTTTAACTTTCTCAGATGTCTTCTTTTCTTTTTGTCACGTGAATTACATGAAATTTTAAAATGTTATATTTAACGAAGTACAGGTACGTTGGATTATTTGAGCTGTTTAAGAACTTAAAATTTTCGTAAACGTTATTGCATATAGAATATTTCGTATTTGTGAAAGTTGCCGTCCTTACATTGTACGTTAAAGCAATTAAACTCATAAGTATGGCTATTGGACCGGTATTTTATTTTCGAAAATATTTCAACTTAGCACACGAAAACAAGTGCGATACTCAAATAACGACGAACGCACGAGTAATTTGAATTATATTCATTGTAAATGTTTAAACGAGTAGACGCATAAGGTTTCATAATATTATTAGACAATTCTATTTTCCATTAGTATTATATTCAGAAATTTAAATAGCAAAGGGCTTACTACAGTTTTGTAACAACGGAAATGAAAAAAGCTTAAACAACTGTTGTCGTAAATTGCCATTAGAGCAGCGGCTTCACCTGTAAGTGCATTAACCCGTTTTACATTTTAAAACTGAACTCATTGCGGTACGGACACACCGGTAACACACTTTTTTGTGCGTCGCGGGTCCGCTTCGGTAAAAATTGTTACATTCTACTTAGTTCATGCGCGTGCCCGGCGTATATATATATATATATATATATATATAAATATAAAGAAATATATATATATACGCGCGCGCGCGCACACACACACGTGTGTCTGTGCAAGGAGCTTAATCAATTCAACTTGTCCCTGGCATCGAAGTTAACGGTGTGTCTACGGTACCTTCTCGCTTTTGCTTATTTAAACTTACGGTTCAATAGCCTCGAAAGTTAAAATAAAAAATGCCTTTCTATGCTCAAGTATAGCCAGTATATCTATTTTTTCATACTCCAGTTGTGGATGGTATGTTAACAATATTCATAAAATTAAAAAATTCGGCCAAGTATTTTTGTTTGCATTTTGGTTTAACTTCTTTTTTTCTGTGTAATACTTGTCTGAAATATAAGACGAACATCTGCAATTGTGCAAATGAATTCAAGCGTAAAAACTTTCTACATCGGATGCAAAATATTATATGTTCTTTAATAGCATACGACGAATAATAATTAATATTTGGGATAAAAATTTTTTTAATATTTATAATAAATAAAACACTTACGAAGATTAAATGA